AATGGGTTGTTTATTGTCGTTGTCACTCGCAACCAATTTTTGGCTGATTTCAACACAATTCTGTTTCCGATTGTCAGTCAACAAACGCGGCAACAACTCTGAAATGACAAGAGGCATCCCAAGTTTGTTCTCCAAAAGTTGATGGCAGGATACTACACTAATGCCCATTTCGTCAGTAACTTCACGAACAGTTACACGGCGACTTCCACGGATAACCGCATGAACTCTGTCTGCAGGATCATCGTCTGATGGTGTTATCTGTCGTTCAGGCTTGGGATACTCACCGACAGAAATGTTTCCGGGTTCAAAATGCTTAGACCACTTATCGCACTGCGTGCGACTCATACAGTCCATGCTGGATGCTTGACTAAGCAACCGAAATGTCTCCATACAAGTTTTCCCAGTGTAGTAAAATGTTCTTCAATGTATTTTATTGTCACTTTGACACTAACCCGAAGAGTAGCTTGTGCAACTGCTCACTTCAGTGGCTGTGTGTCGCCAACTAACGATCAGAGCGAAACAATGTGACGTGGCGGATGTGACTCGCCACAAACTAGTCACTGCCCCGTGAATATCCTGATAATGCTATCCGACACACGGATATCATTTGTTCATTCTCACATTCCTGAGGGAATCCAACAGTTAAAAAGACAGCAACACGTTTACAAGCACAAGTTACTTACATAACAATTATATACATAAACGGTTGACAGCATCCGGTTTCGGATGTGCCTGTCACTGTGGCCAGCCACGGAACACTAGTACCTACAGAGGGACCATGGGTGGCCTGCGTTGCGCCACTCACAGCTCCATCCACACACCCCATATCCAGTGTAAACCCGAAGGAATAAGACCGAGAGGCGTGTGGATGAGAGCCAATTTTAATCAACGGAATCGGCCCACGCTCATTTACAGGCAAACACAAGCACGCTGTATTTGGGAATCAATCACACACAAGGTGGTGGCTCGACCATAGTCCGCTCCACACTGAGTGCATGGAACCACTCTTCGAGCCTAGCACGACCACAAGGACTGTGCACCCCACCCCTCCAGCAACGACCAACTGTCTCCTGGAGGCAGTATGGACGAGGTAGTGGGTAATAGACAGGTAGGCACTTTGTCAACATGCACATCCAGCGCAGCCACACCGGGGATATCAAGCAACAGCCAATCACTTGAAACGACGATATCAAATAAAATAGATCTAATAATGCATACAGATAGGGTGAGATAACTCTTCACTAAATGAGTGTATGAAGTAAGTTAGTTGTGAAAAATCCGCGAAAGGTTCAATACGTCAGAAAATATATAAAGAAAATGCCACAACCGAGAAAATGTTATCGAAGTTAGATAAAGTAGTTTAAGGAACGTATGCAGATTTATAGAAGATAGTTCAGGTAGACATTAATACGAGATAAAAAGCGTAAGGGCACTATAGAAAACCCACCACCTAAAATAAAAAGACTCAGCATGCATGCACGCCGTTAGTAAATCGAACGCAACGTATGTACAAATAATAAATAATAATAATAATGTGTCAGCTGTACGCCGTAACGGCGCTTCGCTGCCGCGCGACCACCACTAGTCGCGCGCGGGCTGAGTATACCACGAGGACGCCCACCCCTACGTTCTATGCAAGATCCGTCGTCGCTTCGGTGGTGGCCCTGAGTGGCCTCGCTCATGGCTCACTAAGCATGCCTGACTCGGGCACTAGTGACCACATGTGCTACAGCACCATGCACTCGACGTCGATAGAGTACAACCCATCAACGTCTGTCGCTTCCGCGATTGCCGCTTCTCTGCATGCACGAGGCAACGGCGCCTCGGCAACGGCCTTCGTGATCAAATCGCGCCATGCACGCCGGTCAACCACCTTCGATTCCCATAACCTGCAATCAAGATTAGAAGGTGAGGCCCACTTGGATCACGCCCTGGTAACGTAACTTCGGTTTCCCCACATGCCGCTTCCCAATACTCAGCTGATCATATAATGGTTGTTTCGGTATCCGTGTCGAATCAATACGGCTCACATGACCGAGCCACCTCAGGTGGCTTAGCAAAAGTATGCAGTCCACTGCATACATTCCACTTCGACGCAACACTTCCGTGTCCGCAACTCTGTCGCCCCAACAAACGCGCAGAATCTGTCGAGAACACAGTCGATGGAACCGCTCGGGATATCTCACACCCCGCCGGTACATCGTCCGCACTTCGCTGCCGTATAGGAGAACGGACAGCACCATGAATTTGTACACCATCAGTTTCGTGCCAACGATAAGCTGATGGTTGTTCCCCACTTCCTGAATGCCGCTGCTGCCTTAGAGACGCAGATACGAAGCTCACTATGAAGCTTCTGGTAAGTCGACATCACACTCCCAAGGTAGCATAAGAGGGAGGTGGTCTCCAATACTTCAGCACCAATGCTGATTCGCGTTAATATTGCAGATTGTACCTGAAGGCTGAAAGAGACAGACAGTTTTGTTTGTGGTGATGGTGAGCCCGAATTTGGCCGCTGTCGAAGCCAGAGTACTAGCCATGTGCTGCAACTCATCCGCGCTGTGTGCAAACAACGCAGACAGTTGTCTCATAGACTAGGGCTCTCGCACCCACCATCAATACGGTGCTTCACACGAACACCGTAAGCACAAGCGGCATCAAAAGCACAGGACATCATTGCATGAAGATATATATTAAACAGGACAGGAGCTAAAACACAGCCTTGCTTCACACCAGAGATAACTGGAAACTCATCCGACGTCTCTCCACTCAGCTGCACCCTCGCCCGCATACCACTGTGCAAACATTCAATTAAACTTATAAACTTACGCGGGCAACCAAACTTACCCATCTCCAGCCACAATGCCTCGCGGTTCACCGTATCAAATGCCTTGGTGAAATAAAAAAAAACGTATAACGGCTGGTGTCTTTCTCTGCACTTCTCCTGCAACTGACGAGCCTCAGACACCATATCTATAGTGCTGCGACCCGAACGTAATCCACACTGCTCTTCCGCCACGTTCGGTTCCACAAGCTGACTGACGAGGCAGTTGAGCAGGATCCGGGCAATCACCTTGCACACACAACTTAGCAAATGGATGCCACGATAATTCGTGCAACATTGTTTGCTCTCTTTGCCCTTGTGTAGTGGTAGCACAAGGGCATCTTTCAGCTCAGGAGGCATCTGCTCTTCAATCCATACGCGTAGCACCAAATGCTGCAGCGCAGTCACCAACGCGAGTCCGCCGTGTTTCAATACTTCAGGCAGGATCCCGTCGGCTCCGGCACATTTGCCGTTTCGCAGCTGAGCAAGTGCTCTCTGCGTCTCATCCAGTGTCGACGTGTCCGCCAGACTCGCCTTCACCTCGTTCTGCTTCAGGCCGTTCAAAGCAGGCCAGTCGATCTCTGAACGGTTGTTCAAGAGACAGTCAAAAAGTTTTGCCAGATCTGCATTATGTCCACAATCTGTGTGCAGGTAGCGTCTGAGCTATCATCGATCAGCGTCCTCAGCGGCTACAATCTCGGTCCATACACCGCCTTCAAGGAGTCAAAGAATTCTTTGTGTTGGCGACGTTTGGCGTACCATTCCATCTGCTTCGCCTTCTCCGTCCACCATGCGTTTTGTATGCGACGGAGCTCTCGGGTCAGTCGCCGTCGAAGTTTGCGAAACTGACTCTTCTTCCCCAAGTCACTGGGATCTGCAACAATTGCAGCAAATGCTGCAATAAGTATGTACACCCATACGCATACATTCACCGTTATATAAACATGTACTTTTGTACAGTTTTGACCACACTTTGTTTTGTTAACATGATCATGCCTGTAAAGTTGTGCCTCTCGTTGCCGAGAATAAAAAGTTGATTTAGTTACTAAATTGTTACACAGAATTGTGTCGCTATAACGATAGCTTGTGAAATGAAAATAATTCAGCATCCAGAGGGACTGTCAGTGCTCTTGTTGATGCTCACCGAATGTTGATGGAAAAACTGAGTGGTTCATGGCAATAGTTTCAAGGAGGCGCCGACGAGTCGTTTTAAGGCAAAATCAACACGGGACATGACAACGACCGGAATCACATGACAATACGTTGAAAGGAAGCAGAACTGATTGGGACTTCACCAAACACAACAGTCGAGTTACAAGAATGCCACTACCGGCCCAACCGCGGCTTTTGGTACTAAAGTGGCTAATGCAATACAATTTAGTTGGGTGTTGTTATCCAAATGGCTAAAACAGAAAGGTATCCGGTAACAAACCCAGCCTGAGAGATAAGCAAATCTCAGGTGCATGCAACAATTGATGAATGTATGCCTGACAATGAGCACACTTAAGAGCAGGTAACGACAACGTTTTATTGTTTGCTGTCGTGTGACGTGAAGGTGTGGGAAGCTGACCGAATTGGGCATAGAAGTATTAGTTACTGATCAATATCAGCTTCGCGGCTGGGAGCGTAGGTCCTAAGGAAGACACCTATGGACAGTAGAAGAAAACCCGAAGATTCTAAGGCGCGAAAAATAGTGTGAATCCGCGTGACCTTCACTTCAAACGATCAGTTCCTTACCCGACTAAACTCAACGTTCGAGACAACAATGCAACATTGTGAAAACTTGAACCCAAATAGTCTTGATTTCATCTGAACCGTCCACATTGTTTAACCACGAACGATACGGTGTCAAGAAGCCGATTTGTACAACTAATCAAGCACGCGTAAATCTGTGCAAAAACAATTTAATGTAGCACATTATGTAAACCGGAAGCAACACCTGCCCAGTAAACAAGCAACAACCAGAAGGATATTGGTACGTTTGGGATGTAATACTTATAACCTTTAGTCGTTGATGCGATAAAAGACTAAAGTACACCGCACATCCGACCAAAAATGGAGAGACGTATATATGATAAATGTAAATAAATGACAGGTAAGTGACAAAGGAAGATCGAATATACATAGAAAAAGCTTCACAACAAACGCTGAATACAGAGGTTGAAAAGCGGAGACTTACCTTTTCCACCAGTAATTCCAAAATAATCTCTCGAGACCTCAATCCCATCTCCTGCAATCTCGCCACGGTGCTTTGTTGAATGGAAAGTTCACGGGCCAGGATAACAGTTTGACGCTGCAAACCATCTAGAGTTGCCGTCGTGAGAGCGGAATTGGGAGTGTAAGAGCCGGAAACAGAGGGATTTAGTTTAATCGGTGAAGTATTTAATATAGATGCCTCACTGGGGAAGCTGGATGTATCAAACAGGAAAGTGTCATCGGTTTGGACCGAAGTATTTGCTCGACAACTCACGGTGGTGGGAGCCGTTTGGCAGGGTAAAGAAACAGCCGAAGCTACCGAATTGATAAGGGAGTTGTCGGGTTTCCGCTGTGACTGGAATACATCCGGCTCAAAGTTGCAGGATTTCGTTCGAGAGATACATATATCAGAATTCAGGGAATGGTGCGCCAAATGGAATGTAACAGCAACGGAACTGGGAGAGACTGGAGTAGTTTGGAAAGCCGATGTATCTGTTGTAGCAGCTGGCACTGCTGCGGGATTGTCGAGCAGGTCGGCAGTGGATTCGACTGCTGCAGAAGAGGGCTGAATGTCATTAGAATTCGTGCAGGCAAGGCGTTCAACTTGACAGCAAGCGACAGCCAAATGGCCAACCTCGTTAAAAGGCGAGTTACGAACATGTTTTGTGGTCAACTGCACAGGTGAATGGAACGAAGGAAAGGGGTCAAGTGGTATGAGTGGTGGCATCTCACAAACAATAACTACTTCGCTATAGGCATCTAGCGGGTGCACTGGTGGGAGAAGGCGAATAAGCAGATGATGCAAAAAGTAACCAGCTTGTGATCGGAAGCAGTGGTTAGCAGTGGCATTTGCCTGAGGGATAAACGACATCATCGAACACCAAAGTCATCACCATCATTATACAAGTTAACTAGAGGTTTAAAAACACCTCAGCTATTGTGCCGCAATACATAAAAGAAAAAAGAAAAATACAGCAGTTGCATGCCAGCTGAGCTACCAGCAACGGATGGGCATCGTTCTGGAATGCTACCAGGCTGCTATTAGGCAACAAGAAAAAATTACCATGTAAAATTAGATTACTCTACGAAATCAGATCGTGACTGGAGGGGGAGACTAGAAGAGATGGGGTGGGACAAAAAAACTCACAGTATGAACGCCAATGAGGTCGGCTCCTAGCCATGTCAGCAAGTGTATCTAGCTGAACGTGTTCATGGCCTTGTGGACCCCAACCAGGGAGCCGTGAAGCTCCGACCGAGCCCAACTCCAAAGTGAGGGCCTTCATTCCTCTCGACTTAGTCGTCGCTTGGCCATCCCTCCTCTTCTTCCATCCACATCCCCGGTGACCAAACAAGGCACGTCGTGGAAGTCGACGGGCTGGCATGCGCAACACGTGGCCGAGCCATCGGAGCCTGGTGCGTGAAATGACGGTGCTGAGCGGTTCAGTTCCCTTTCCTGTGCCGTAAACAAGACGTCGAACAAGCACATTACTCACGCGGTGATCCCACCAGATATGAGCCAAACTGCGAACGCACCGATGGTCGAACGTACCTAGACTCTTAATGTCTGCTGATCTAAAGGGCCAGATTTTGCAACCGTACAGTAAGGTTGAACGTACCGCTGCATTGTACACTCTATCCTTCAGGGCGAGAGTAATGTCGCGCCGCCGCCATAGGTGGCGAAGACTAGAAAGAGCACTTCGAGCGTTTGATATTCGGTTCGTTATCTTATCTTCAATCCCACGGACGCTGATACAACTTATTAGGTAGTTGAATTCCTGAACGACTTCTAGCTGGTCTCCACCAAGGGTTAGCGCAGGAGGCGATCCCTGCCAATCATGGAGGAAAGCTTTGCACTTCGATGGTGCAAAACAAAGTCCGAAGCGACTGACAGCCAGTGATAATCTGTTCAGTGCAACTTGGCACGTCGGGAACCTGTCACAAATGAGGGCAATGTCGTCTGCATACTCCAAGTTAAAAAGTCATTCTCCTGGGAGTAGCTCCACACCTTCTAAGTCCTGTCCTGTAAATGCTATCTCCATGACTTCGTCAATAGCGAAGTTGAAGAGAAAAGGTGACAGCGGGTATCCTTGTCTCACACCGCTGGAGATATTGAAGGGCAGCGACAGCTTGCCGTAAGCCCTCACTCTGAACGTGCTACGCGCATATAATGCTCGGATAATATTTATATATTCCTCGGGCACACCTTTCCTGAGTAGACAGTTCCAAAGGGCACATCGATCAACCGGATCGAACGCACCTTTGATGTCGAGGAACACGACTACGGGGGGCCGCCAATATGTGTGACGATGTTTCAACAACGGACGCAATGTGAATATGTGGTCAATGCAGCCACGATCCCGACGAAACCCGGCTTGCTCTTCACGAACCTGGCTTTCACGAGCGCCAGTCAGTCTGTGAAGGAGTACAGAGGCACGCAATTTGGAGGCGATGGAGATCAGACTGATTCCTCTACGGTTGCCGTATTCCGAACGGGAGCCTCATTTGAAGATGGCAACAATAATGGAGCGGCGCCAGTCAATTGGGACAGTTTCCTGCTCCCATAGTTTCACTAGTAACTCATGTAAATCATCAACAAGAGAAGAGCCCCCGAATTTGAAGAGGGCTTGAAAAAGATCATCTGGTCCCGCGGCTTTGTTCAAGTTCAACAGTCCAGTCTCACGTTCGAGTTCTGAGCGAGAGGGCGGATCTAAAGGGACAGCCCAGGGAGCAGGGCGATCACTTGCCGGTGAGGAATCGAACAATTCCGGTCGATTAAATTGCTTTTCAAAACGCTCATCCCAGCGCTTCAAACGCCTTGACATATTGTAGATAGGCTGTCCACTCTCAACACAAATTGTTTCACTAACACCAGGTCCCCTGCTGCCTGTTTCCCGTACCAGACGGAATAACTTTCGATGGTTACCAAGGGCAGCGGTCACTTTCATCTCTGATGCACGAAGAGACCAACAAGATTCGCGGTCTCTCTTCAGGATAGCACGGAGTCTTGCCCGGATCTCTTTGCGATCTTCATGTGTTCGCTTCCAGCCGGGATATGTCGGCGAGCGTCGATAAGTTCCAGAGACCGAGAAGATACCCAATGTCCATGTTGTCCATTAGACTTACCACATAAGGATTTTCCTGCTGCTAGTAAGGTCTGGTGAACATGCGACCAGTGACCTTCAATTGTCTCCAACGGGCGCTTACTCAACTCGCATGTCAGCGTACTTTACTAGGCATTCAGAACAGCTGACTTCATCAGTTGGCTGGTGTCAATGCGTTCACAGCGTCGTCGTGGGCATCCGCCAAAACGCATTCGCGTGTCAGCACATACAAGCGCAAGGTCGCTGTCCACACATGTGCACTAAATCGAGTGACAGTTGTGGATGCAGCCCCTCCAGCGGTAACAGATTGCAATGTGATCGATTTGCGTCCAAGGCTGGTGGGCCCCAAGTCACCCTCCGGCGAGTGCTTTGTCGGAAGTTATTGCTCGCAAGAAATAAGCGGGCATCTTCACCCAAATGAAGTAACCGCTCACCGTTATCATTACGGGAGCGTACACCATGATGACCACCCAGATGCATTTCATCAGTGGAAAACATTCCAACTTGTGCGTTCAGATCCCCAGCCAGCACAATAGTGTCCGTGCTTCTCCTGCGGCGAAGGAACTCGTTCAGTTGGCGGTAGAAGTAGTCTTTTACCGAATCATCGCTACATTTTGTGAGCGCGTAGGCAGCGATGATGTATAGACACCTATTAGTCTCGCGCGACTTCAAAGCTTTAAACGAGCCAGCCAATCTGACCGCACACATCCGGCTACTGATTGGAATCCAATCAACCAGAGAAGCTTCAGCCCGGGGACTCAGAGAAATGCCAACACCGGCTTGGCCGGCGCTCGAAGCTGCATCGTCACCGGATAGGCTCAATGAGAAAGTGCTACTAGTGTCACCTGAAGTGGATCGTAGAGTGAGCACTGTGCTCGAGTCTTGCAGGCGGGTCTTTGATAAGCAGCAGATATCGATCGAGAGGGTCTCTAAAGTTCGGGTAAGTGCTGCCTGTTGGCCGATCTGTAGTAATGTGCGTGCATTGAAGCATGCCAATCTGAAGAAGGATCGAGGGCTCCAAATGGAAGCCGATGAACTGGAGTGGACCGTTTGGTGAGAGATGAGCATGTCGACAGGACAGGAGTGACGCTCCGCGTTAGCATGTGAGTCGAAACTAGAAGATAAATGCCTAGCAAAGCATGTTGGGGGAGGGCCAAGAATCGGGGGTTGAAAACTGGAGGGATAAAAGTGAGGCTGGAACAGGACCATAAGGGAGCAAAAGCGTAAGGGGGGGAATAAGAAGACGGGAAGGTTTGAGCAGTAGCATCCAAACCCCTATCCACCCTGCTCGATCCAGCAGATAGGGCACCATTGATTATCCTCTGTGGTGGCCAGAGCATCAGGAATTTGTTTGATGAAAGATTCATTGTATTGCGTGGGCAGGATACTGCCAGGTCGCCCAGGCCTAGACAGGAGAACGATTAGGGTCCTCAACCTTTGGTTCGAAAACCTGACCGCAAGGCAGCGGGTTTGGGCTACTAGGAGCCCGTTTTAAGGCAGGTAAGTCCCCCTTCTCTCCCTCTTCTTATTCGTTATTTCATAGTTCCTCATGGTTGTATGGTAGCGAAGCATTAGTTCACATGGCTGATGTACTGCTGTTGATGATGATGAGTCCGTTTTAAGGAATAAGGAGACAACTTCATTCCAACCCGCAACCTGGCAGACTAAACAAGTCTCGAATCGGGAAACTTTGACCGGGCATACGTAGCACGTGCCCAAGATAACGCAACTTATTCAGTGCTATCTGTTGTGCTAAGGAGCTAACATGAGTAGCACTACCTAGTACTTGCCTACGTATATCATCGTTGCGGAGACGCTGGTGCCATCCGACACCAGCAATGCTTCGCAGACAACGATGATCAGGCTTGAAGGCGCCTCTGATCATTAGAACGAAGGAGCCAAGTCTCACTACCATAGAGCAGGGCGGCCCTTACTGACGGTCGTTCAGACGGAGATAAACTCGCTACTGTCGCCAAAATTGTCACAGATTCAAGAAGACAGTACTGGCCTTTGCAATGCGTTAGCTCACGTCAGTTTCTATGCTCCCATAGTTGCCGATGCAGCTGCCAAGTGAATCGAGCAATCAGCTCGAGTTCCGCGTTATCAAGGGTTAAGCGATCATCAAGTGACTGGTGATCCTGCAGAAAAACTTTGCACTTTGAAGGTGCGAAGCGCATGCCAAATAATGTGACCACTCTGGACAGCCTATTCAGGGTTGACTGGGCCGCCCCAACATCGTCTAAAAGCAAGACGATATCATTCGCATAATCAAGATCAACTAATCTTTCACCAGACAGAACCTCAACGCCTACATCGTAAGATTCTGTAAGGGAACAATCAATGATAGAGTCCACGACGAAATTGAACAAAAACGGGGAAATCGGACAACCGTGAAGTACGCCATTCGTGGTTTGAAATCTATCCGGCAGGTCACCATAGACCTTGACGCGGCCTGTAGCGTTCCAGTATAGAGCACGTAAGATATTCACATATGTCGCGCAAGTAATTCGAACAGAATGGATCGATCGACTGAGTCGAACGCAATCTTGAAACCGAGGCACACAACTATTTTCGGTCCGCGGTATGCGTGGCGCTGCCCTAGGACCTGCCGCAGAGTAAATATATG